CAAACCTACAGCCAGCATTATACTTAATGGAGAAAAACTGAAACCATTCCCTCTAAAATCAGGAACCAGACAAGGATGCCCACTATCTCCACTCCTATTCAACATAGTACTGGAATTCCTAGCCAGAGCAATTAGGCAAGAAAAGGAATAAAAGGAATACAAATAGGTAAAGAAACTGTCAAAAATCCCTATTTGCAGATGACATGATCCTATACCTTAAAGACCCAAAAAACTCTACTCAGAAGCTCGTAGACATCATCAATAGCTACAGCAAGGTAGCAGGATATAAAATCAACATAGAAAAATCATTAGCATTTCTATACACTAACAATGAGCAAACTGAAAAAGAATATATGAAAACAATTCCATTTACAATAGCCTCAAAAAAAATCAAATACCTAGGTGTAAACCTAACAAAAGATGTGAAGACCTCTACAAGGAAAACTATACACTTCTGAAGAAAGAGATTGAGGAAGACTATAGAAAGTGGAGAGATCTCCCATGCTCATGGATTGGTAGAATCAACATAGTAAAAATGTCTATACTCCCAAAAGTAATCTACATGTTTAATTCAATTCCCATCGAAATTCCAATGACATTCATTAAAGAGATTGAAAAATCTACCGTGAAATTTATATGGAAAAAGAGGCCACTAATAGCCAAGGCAATACTCAGTCAAAAGAACAATGCAGGAGGTATCACAATACCTGACTTCAAACTATATTACAAAGCAATAACAATAAAAACAGCATGGTACTGGCACAAAAACAGACATGAAGACCAGTGGAACAGAATAGAGGACCCAGATATGAAGCCACACAACTATAACCAACTTGTCTTTGACAAAGGCTAAAAATATACGATGGAGAAAAGCAGCCTCTTCAACAAAAACTGCTGGGAAAACTGGTTAGCAGTCTGCAAAAAACTGAAACTAGATCCATGTATATCACCCTATACCAATATTAACTCAAAATGGATCAAGGATCTTAATATCAGACCCAAACTCTAAAGTTGGTACAGGAAAGAGTAGGAAATACTCTGGAGTTAGTAGGTATAGGTAAGAACTTTCTCAATGAACCCCAGCAGCACAGCAACTAAGAGATAGCATAGATAAATGGGACTCATAAAACTAAAAAGCTTCTGTTCATCAAAAGAAATGGTCTCTAAACTGAAGAGAACACCCACAGAGTGGGAGAAAATATTTGCCAGCTACACATCAGACAAAGGACTGATAACCAGAATATATAGGGAACTTAAAAAACTAAATTCTCCCAAAACTAATGAACCAATAAAGAAATGGGCAAGTGAACTAAACAGAACTTTCTCAAAAGAAGAAGTTCAAATGGCCAAAAAACACATGAAAAAATGCTCACCATCTCTAGCAATAAAGGAAATGCAAATTAAAACCACACTAAGATTCCACCTCACCCCTGTTAGAATAGCCATCATCAGCAACACCACCAACAACAGGTGTTGGCGAGGATGCGGGGAAAAAGGAACCCTCTTACACTGCTGGTGGGAATGTAAACTAGTACAACCACTCTGGAAAAAAATTTGGAGGCTACTTACAAATCTAAACATTGATCTACCATATGACCCAGCAATACCACTCTTGGGGATATACCCAAGACTGTGACACAGGTTACTCCAGAGGCACCTGCACACCCATGTTTATTGCTCACTATTCACACAGCCAAGATGCCCCACTACTGATGGATAGATCAAGAAAATGTCGTATCTATACATAATGGAATTTTATGCAGCCATGAAGAAGAATGAAATGTTATCATTTGCTGGTAAATGGATGGAATTGGAGAACATCATTCTAAGTGAGGTTAGCAGGGGCCAAAAGACCAAAAATCGTATGTTCTCCCTCATATGTGGACATTAGATCAAGGGCAAACACAACAAGGGGATTGGACTTTGAGCACATGATAAAAGTGAGATCACACAAGGGAGGTGTGAGGATAGGTAAGACACCAAAAAATTAGCTAGCATTTGTTGCCCTTAACGCAGAGAAACTAAAGCAGATACCTTAAAAGCAACTGAGGCCAATAGGAAAAGGGGACCAGGAACTAGAGAAAAGGTTAGATCAAAAAGAATTAACCTAGAAGGTAACACACATGCACAGGAAATTAATGTGAGTCAACTCCCTGTATAGCTATCCTTATCTCAACCAGCAAAAACCCTTGTTCCTTCCTATTATTGCTTATACTCTCTCTTCAACAAAATTAGAGACAAGGGCAAAATACTTTCTGCTGGGTATCGAGGGGTTGGGGGGGGTGGGTGGGAAGGGAGGGCGTGGGGGGAAGGGGGAGAAATGATCCAAACATTGTATGCACATATGAATTTAATAAAAAAGTAAATGATAAAACTTACCAGACAAAAGTGAAAATTCCATCTATCATTCGTCAGCTATCATCTAGAATGACAAACCTTTTCCGTACATTATCTCTAATCCTCTTAGTGACTCTGCAAATATTATCCCTAGATTACCAGCAACAAATCAAGGTTTGGAGAGGTTTCACTGCACTTGACCAGAACCATATAGCTTTCTCAGTCTGTTTCCAATAGTCATACTTTTTCAATAGCAGTGCTTTCTCACTAATAAGTACCTATTATATGGAAGCATTTACATCACATTTAATGATTTGTGGAAACAAAATTAACAAAGTTACAAACCTATAAAAATAAGTAAATCACAAAGTGACACCACCATATTTAATTCTGACATACAGACTTAGCTTTTAAAAGCACACACTCTTGAAACTTTTCTAGATAATTCTCATTCAGATTTACACAGTTGGGATTACCTTACGGAGAACAAAGTCCTGTGAGTATATCACTAAAAGGAAAGGGCGAAGCTATGCACTAGTGAGGTGCACTAGTACTAGGAGTACTTTAATTCAACTTCCCCTATTAAAACTTATTACATGCAGTTCTGCTCTGCAAAGTGAAACACAAAGAATACATTTGTGATATATTCTGAAAGGCTGGGCTGCAACTAAGAATGTAGCCTAGGGATGGGTAATGCCAGAAATGTAAAAAACAACTGGCAAAAAAAAAAAAAAAGACCAGGGAAAAAAGACAAGTGACTTCAGTAATAAAAGGCAGACAGCTGTGTTTTAGCAGTTCTCTTTGGCTACATAAGTTATAGAAGTTTTAAAATCCAAAGTCTCTAGTCCAATTTCTTTTTTTCTTTTTCAGTACTGAGTTTGAACTCAGGGTCTTGTGCCAGTTGAGCTATGATGCCAACCCTTTTACCTTTATTCTTCACATAGGTTCTCTGGCTTTTGCCCAAGACCAGCCTCAAACCACAACCCTCCCAACACCACCTCCCACATAGTTGGGATTATAGGCGTACACCACCATGCCCAGGCAAAATAATTTTTTAAAAAGAGTCTCACAAAAATATTCGGCATCACAACAGATAACATATTGGTAACATGACGGAAGTAAGCAGGCAGAGGGAAGATATTAAAAATAAAAAATAAAACCTTGCAAGTCAGCCTTAGATGAAAAGAAAAGGGCAGCAATAACTGCCTTCCTAAATCATTCACAGAGTATGTAAGTCCTTATCATTCTTCTCCAGCCCACATCTACAGGGGTACTTCTCCCATTCCTTGACAGTTAATCTCCCATGTTTCAATATAGCCAAAAAACATATCAAAAAATTCCTTCTCCTTTTTCTCTCTTTTTATCACTTCTTCCTTTCATTTCATTTCTGGTCAGTAATTTACTTTTCTGTTGTCTGGACCATTTTTTCCCTCCAAATTCCCTAATGTTCTCTCTTTTCTCATATATCCTCCCACCTCCATCCATTTGTACATCTAGGTTTGGATGTACAAACCTAGAGAGAGCATGAGCTCTTTCTCTCCCCTCCCATACACATTCTGGTTAAAGAGACTAAAGATTGAAAAGGAAAAATTGTTCAATTGAATATAGCACTCTAATTTCTTTTAAATATCATTTACATACCACATTGCTGTATCCTAACAATGCTGCCCCTTCACTCATGAGAGCTGCAAAAGTTCATTGTTTATAGATGGGCTTACCCAAAGGAAAATGAGCTAAAATATATGGAATATATGGGCCCATACAGGACTATCATATCAACCAGTACTTCCCAGTGTTTCGTACTTTTTTCTTTTCTTGAGACACCATCTCACTATATTGGGCAGGGTGACCTACAAGTTCTAGGCTCAAGCAATTCTTCCCCCCTCTGCCTCCCAAGTGGCTGGGACTACAGACACCTGCCATCTGGCCCAAGCCCCATGTTTATTTTTTAAAGCAATAGTCCAATAAGGTGCTATACAGATCAGGTCAAAAGCACACGTGACACTTAAGAGTCTAAGAAATTAGTAAATGAAGAACTGAAGAAACTTGCTTAACTGTGTTAAACCAGCTCTTCTGAACCCTCCCCCCATACCTATTAATATCCCACAGAAATGCATTTAGCAAATGTCAATCTTAACCAGTAATTAATATATGCTATGCAAAATAATATACTTCAGTCTAAATAGTTTTAAAGTGCGACTGTCTTTGGAAAAACTAAAAATGAATTCAAACAGAAAACAATTACCAAGTTTCTGGGTGAATATGTCACATGTATATTTATCTTACCTAGGTTTATTTTAAAATTAAAACTGTAAAATCACCAATTTTAATTTTATGATTCTGGAGGCATAGAGAGAGTTAAAGAAGTGAAGTCTTAAGCCAAGAATATTGTGTGGAACAGAATATTCTGTTACAAATATTAAGGCCTAAAACTTTGTTTTTCCTTTGTTAATTTTCATGTTTGATGTCTTTTTCAAGTGGAAGAATGGGATTTTATGAATTTTATAATCTAATGAATATACAGGCAAGCTATTAAGAATTCTCAGAAGATGTATATGTAATAATAAAAACTTAATGAAAATGTGTCGATTTTCCCTTTCACATATACTACAAGTATTTATTTCACAGGTTTTAAAGAGTATATTATGAAGTACTCGTTTTACCTGAAAGCTCCGTAAAGTGGCCTGTACCAACAGACAAACGAACAGGGAGTAAACAGCAAGAACCACAGGATACTCAGTCCAAAATCCACTGCTCTTGCAGAGTCAACACAAAACCAAGCCAAGCATCCAAAGATATTTAGAAACAGCGTTACAGCATGGACTGTAGAATCAGAAAACAAAATAGAAATGCTTACATTCGAATTTATTTATTCAACAAATATTATAAATGCAAAAATACTTGTTAGGAACAAATGTGTTCTCCCCCATGTTTCTATTTAATATTTTCAAAACACTGCTGTTTCAGCCCATTTGATTTGGAACAAAGTATACACAATAAAGTCAGTCCTCATACGTGAACTGTTGGCGAAAGTTCTATTGGCCCTTTCTTCCTACAACTAAACCAAAAAAGCACAACCTAAGGCCTTCTTCCCTGAGAAGGAAACCTGCCTTGTGTCCCTTGATCCAAGGCCCAATAACAATAGGGCCTGCTAAGAAAAGAACCAGGATTTGGGAGGAAAAAATAACCTATTCGGAACAGTATCTTTAGAGAATGGGGCTGTAGAATAAAACTGGCCTAAAACTACAAACACAATAGCAATTTCCAGTGACAATATAGTCAATCTACAAGGATTACAACTTTCAAAATAGTCACAATGAATCCCCCATACAATGACTATATCCTAATAAAAATGGAAAAAATGAAATAAAAATTTAAAAATAAAAAGGATTATTATTTCATCTTCACGGAGTTGCCCATTTTTAAGAGTCCCAGAAAAAACTGTGTTTTGGTAAAGGATTAAAGTTATTAACACCCCACCCCACACATACACAGACAACATGATGCATTTTAGCTGCAGAGGCAAGCCTTTCCTCTGGTTGACACAGACAGACCTTGGACAAACTCTTCATATGCTGTTCATAATTACTTTCCCTAATAGATAAAAAACCAAAATCTGAATAAAATCTAACTCCACTATCATCCTAAAGAACTACATTTGCACATTATAATTAATAACTTTTATAAGGATTCTTTACATTTTTATTCATCGGTAGAATTTATTATAGGAAATAAATTTTCATGAAAACTAAAATGCTATAAAACTGCAATCTAACTGTTAAAAAATTTTTTCCTAGATGTTTTCAAAGTAGTCCACAACCATGATCACTAGTCATTTACTTGTACCTTGATAAGGACTAACGTGTCTAGGGCTACTTAGTGAATAATCTATCAACTTATGCAAGGAACACAATGCATACAGAAAGGCAAGGTGACATGAAATGCATGATCTGTCTCACTAATTTCAGTCTAATTTGAGGGAGCAATGGGGATCTAGCTGTGGACTCCAAGTGTTGACACAACACTGAAGAAATCCTGAAGCTGTTGTTTACATGATTCCAAGACAGCTGCACCCACATGCAGAGTGCTCTGCAGAGAATCATCTCATCTATTTATAAGACATTAAAAAGTCTCACTGATCATAAAGTAAAAACACAAATTTTCTTAAGAAAGAATGTACCCTACAAATTACTCATTACCCCAGGTGTTCTGCAGGTGCGAAGCCACAACTGCTACCATCCCTACTGACATAGTGACATCAAATGAGGCTGAGACTATGGTTGGAATAAAAATCAAACAGAGAGGTAAGTGGGAAGTCTGTGTACATACAGCAAAACTGTTAACAGCTTGACATTTTATTTTAGTATTCCATGAGTTTCAATTATACTTGAAGCAACGTGAGCATCATAGCCTAAAATGAATGTTCAATAAAATAAACTGTGCTATATTAAGTACTTTCCAGAATAAAAGTTTCACAACCACTTGAAAATGAAAAGTAAACACAGCTCAAATCCATATTTAAAATTATAGTTTATACTACAATATATTGTGTTTTTTAAAGTAGCCATAATGCCCACAATTTAAATGTTCTTCCTTTGCATAAAAAAAGTATGCATACTTTTTTCAAAGCAAATCATGCCTCAATAACATTCTTTGAGGAAAAAGGATCATTAAAAAATCTTACCCACTGACAGAAAAACTTGCTCTTCCCTCAAAACAAACAAACAAAAAGTCAGTCCTCAATATGTAGATGTTCCTGAGCCAAGGACTTAGATTGTCACATATAGTACAGTTTTAGCATATCTAAAAATGACGTTTCACTCTGGAAATTATCATTACTGAGATCTATCTACAGAAAAGGGAGATCATTTTACCATACTCTCCTTAGTATATCAGTCCCAAAAAAGGTGGATTTTAATAATGAAAACATAAACTCCAAACAAATATATAACTTGTTCTATACTCACACATCCACAAGTAGTACATAAGCTTTACTGTCTTTTGGAATTCTACAGGAATGTCCACAGAAAAATCCTGATAGAAACAAGGTCCCACAGGAAAGTTGCTAGGAAGAGGTGGCCAATTATTTTTTCTGCCTGTAAATTTAAAAAAAAAAGAGTTAGTATAACAAATACATTCTGCTCTTATTTTTGTTTCATAATAAAGAGCTCTATTATTTTAAAAGATGTTATTTTAAAATGTTAATGCTATATCCCTACATTCCTAAAATTCTGAAAGTAAAACCTCATATTTTAAGTTTTTTTCTCAGAATACCACTTTAAAAAATGATAGCTGGTGAAATAATTTTCCAGTGTCATATCATGTTCAGGTACCATTTATGTACAGGAAAAACAACACACAAAAAAAGAAAGCACAGAGACTCTGCCCTATAGATGGATTTCTGTCAAAATTCCAAAAGCCTGGCTGTACAGAAAGGCCAGGTCTTAAACTTCAATTTTCTCCTCAGTTTCTTAAGACTTTATGTGAAATTCTGCTATAATTCTGAACCTGTGTGGAGAAGGACTAACTTCTGAATCTCAAGTTTTCTACGGTTCACTACATGAAGAACACAAAATTAAACTAATACCAAAGAATAAATTTGGAAATCTCAAAATCTAGAAAAAAAAAACAGCATCCAAAAGATACATCTAAGAAAATCATAAAACTGTAAGAAAACATGAAACAATCATGTTTTTCCTTGGAAAACAAATTTGAACCATGAACAGAGAAACTGTGTCTATATAAAGAAACAAGATTGAGCAGAAGACTTGGGAAATGGAAGAGAAATAAAAAATAAAGCAGGGCTGGGACATGGCTCAAGTGATAGACCAAACGTTTTGGAAGCATGAGGCTCTGGGTTCAAACCCCAGGACTGCAAAAATAAATAAGTAAACAAAAAAGAAAGCATAGAGTCGGAACATAAAAGTAAAAATAAAGCAATTAACTAAAGGTCACTTTCTAATTTTAAATACTCCATGACTTTTAAAAATTCAATTTTACATACTTTTTATAGACCAGGGAAAATTTCATGTGGAAAAAAACAGAACTCATTCTGATTCTCCCTTTATATTAACTACACTATTCAAATTTTGGGGTGGGGGTTCAACTCAGTGGTAGAGCACTTGCCTAGCAGGCACAAGGCCTTGGGTTTGATCCCTAGCACTGAAAAACAACAACAACAACAAACTCATATAGTTCACACACTTCTTCTATCAATCTCACACTATTGAAACAGCAGCAGGAGCAGAGGCTCTGGAACCAGCAGTGCCCAGCCACTCACAGAGTAGGCGGTCTTGGGCAACTTGACCTCCCAGAGCCTTAGCTTCTTCATCTATAAAATGAGGACAGCTGAACCATCCTCCATATGGTGGTGCTGAGGATTAAGCATGACAATACATGAAAGGGACCAAATGTACTAATATACTGCAGTTGTATCTCTGCTAATCCCCACTCTTCCTTACTGCCTACACTAAAACATCCCAGAGAAATAATGTGTATTAGTCAATGCTAAGAAAACAGTACAGAGTGTAATCACAGGTATTTCAGAAATACTGATTCCAATTAAATCTTTAGTGTCTCCCTCTGTAGAAGCTGCCTCTGAAGATGCAAGCCTCCTCTTCCATCACTATCCAGGCATCCTAACAATGCCTTACCTGGCTCTTGGGTGCATTCTTATCCAGAGACTGTTAGCTTTACTTAAGATACTCCCTTGAAGCAATCTTTGGCAGTCACAGCCTGAATAGATTGTATAGCAAATAATTCAGCCCTGATTTATTTCTTTGGCATCATATAAATATCCTGGGATTCCAAGAATTGCCACAAACATATTGTTCTAACATTCTTTGGCAAATATGATATACTTGTGGGGACCAGGACAAATCATTTAAAACCAGCCTGAATAAAATAGGTAAGAGTCAAACACAGGGCACAAAGTCATGCTGGGTGTAGTGGATCACACATCTAGTAATCCCTGCTACTCAGGAGGTAGAGATCCAGAGGATTATAGTTTGAGGCCAGCTCAGGCAAAGAGTTAGCAAGACCCTATCTCCACCAACAAGCCAGGCTTGGTGATTCATATCTGTAATCCCAACTACATAGGAGGCATAGGTAGAAGTATTGTGATCTAAGGCCAGCCCCAGGCAAAAGCAAATGACCAAAAAAATACCTAAAATTACAAAAGGACTGGAAGCACCCTTCCAAGCAATGCAGCACCTACACAGCAAGTGTGACACCCCGAGTTCAAAGCCCAGTACTGCTAAAAATGGGGGTGGGAGGAAGTAATGACAAAGACTGAATAGACCCAAAGTGAATCAAAGGCTCCTAGACTCAGGATGAACCAAGGAATCAGCTTTGTACTCACTTTCTCTGTGATGAAGCCAACCCTGCTCTGATCTATCAAGACTGTGCAAATGAGCCAAGATGAGAGAGTTACAGAATATCAGGTAAGCAGTCTGATCTCCTTGCTAGAACAGGAAAACAGGACAGGGCTTTGTCCACCAACCAAGTGACCGGGACGGGGATAGACATTTGTATTTCAATCTTCCTTGGATATTACCATGTTGACTGAGGTTTTGCATTTCTCGTTCTCGACGATCTAATTCTGCAGCTTTTCTTTCCAGCTCTTCTTGGCGCTTGAGAAGCTCAGCTTGAGCCAAGGCATGCTCCTAGATAAAATTGTCCACATGTGAATGGGTTATCAGAAGGGTAAATACTTCAATGCTGATGTGTTACCTTCTACTGCTCCCTGTACGACAGAATCCTAATTCAAATGGGCTTCCAAATACAGGAAGAATCTGCTGAAGCCTGTAGTTGCAGAAAATATTAGGGGTGATCTGATCTGGCTCATTTGGTCTTTTGGTTATGAAAACCCTCAAAGGAAATGTTGAGTGCACAGGACAGGGAAGAAAGGTCTCATTAAGCATGATTAAGAGTCCTAAAATAATCTGGGGAAATGAAATGTAGGCAACCTCTATGCCTACATGAGAGTAAGAACAGAAGCAGGGATCCAGTTGAGGAAAATGACAAACAGGAAAAAGGGCAAGTGACTTAGCTCTGATAAACTGGGCCAAATGATGTATAAAGTTCCAGGTAATGCAAGAACATTTTATAATCTCTTAAGTGTCATAAAATCCTGAGGAGAAAGATGGATATGTACTCAAGGAACTCTGGCCTGTAACTCCACCTGACCATACGTGATGCCAGGCATCTGGTTCACCTCTGCTTTTCCTGAACTTTCTCCATCTTCTACCTCCCTCTACTGTCCACTGACTGACAATTATAATTCTCTCCCAATAACATCTATCATTCTATCTTTGTTACCGTATTGGCACTGTGCATTAAAAATTAAGAATAGAGGCAAGAAAAATTTTACTATTCAGATTGGTCACTAAAAGATGAAAGATGAAATATGAATTCAATCACTTATTCAATAATGGAATAAACCTAAATGTCAGAAGCTGAAAAGATGTATAAATATTTATAGGGTGACAAGACAGCTAATCCAGACTTAAGGTAATTTTAAAACAAAAAAGGTATGCAACAGTATAAAGAATTATTTCCTCTGAAAGCAAATGTTGACATATTTTCCTATGTACAATTATGCAGTCAACATGAACTAACCTTTGCAATCTGTGTATAAGCTGGATGCTCCTCTGTTGGTTTCATTATTGCTGGTTGTGTATTGGGTACATTAGGCATTTTCATACTGCCTGGTGGAGGCTAAAAAGAGTAAGAAAAGGACAAATTATGCAACATAGGGATCCAACTTTAACTTCTTTCATAAGATATCATACTAACAGAGAACAAAATCCCAAAATCTGCCTTTCTTCCTTCCCAGTCCTCTCATGTCATGTGTGGCTTATGTCAAAGGGCTGCTCCATTTCCTCAGACTTAGTCATTTCTCAACCCCACAATCTGCCTGCTACCTTAAACACTACACCACAAACCACTCTCTTTCAGGATACCACATGTTAGGAAAAATCTTATAAGTACTTCTTTACAGCAATATATATATATATTATATATTTAAAAAAAAAACAAAAACAAAACAAAACCACCAGACTGCATAGCAAAGGTTGGGGCCACGTGTTTATAGTCCCATGTGCTTGTGGCAGGGAGATCACCTGAGCCCAGGAGTTCAGGGCCAGGCAAGACAACCTGCTGAGGTTTACAGCCAACTCTGCACTCTTATGGAAGACGTAATAAAATGCATGTTATACCTGAAAAGTGCAGTGGAGACCTGCTGGTACAACCTCACTACAGTCCTTGAAAAGAGCAATAGAGAAATGGAAAATAAACTTCACTAACTCTCTTTGCCAGTGAAAATAAGCAATATCTGAAAGAAAAGTAAAGTAGAGCTGGTGGAGTGGCTCACGCGTGCTGCCTTTCTAGCAAAGGTGAGGCCCTGAGTTCAAACCCTAGTGATGCGAAAAAAAAAAGTAAAGTAGATAACTATAAGTCTATCACAGGGTACAAAGGAGGAAGAAAAGAAGGGAGGCAGGAAGGCAGAAGCTACAAAAGAAAGTTCAAAGATCAAAACTATTAAAGGTAGAAACCACCTCTAATATAGCAGGATTTTATGCTAACATAGCTAACAGCTTACTGAAAAGTAAACCAGGTGTAACTCAAGCTATTACTACAGTACAGCTGATTCTAAATTCATATGGGGAAAAATAAGGACTAAGGACAGGTCAAACAATTCTAAAGAAAATAAGATAGGGAGACCTGTGATAGCAATACTGACTACGAAACTATAGTAATTAAGAGTGTGGTATAGCTAGGAGCCAGTGGCTCACACCTGTAATTTAGCTACTCAGAAAGCAGAGATCAGAAGGATCATAGTTCAATCAAAGCCAGCCCAGGCAAATAGATTGCAAGACCCTCTCTTGCAAAAAACCCATCACAAAAAAGGGTGGTTGAGTGGTTCAAGGTATAGGGCCTGAGTTCAAACACCAGTACCGGAAAAAAAAAAAAAGTGAGGTACCAATACTGAATAAAGAATTATACTAATAGACAAAACAAATACAACACAGAAACAAATCCACACAAACACAGAAACCTGAAACCCATCAGAAGCTGTACTACAGAATAGTGGAGAAATGTTACCTGTCAATAAATGCTACTGGGAAACCTGCATACTCACTTAGAAAAATGAAACTAGATTTCCTACTTCATATCATGTACAAAGATAAATTCAAGGTAGATTAATGACCTAAAAGTAAGAAAGTAAAACTTAAATACCTTTAGGGGAAAACTGAATATTTTTATAAATCAGGGTTTATTTCCTTACATCTTAGCTCTAGAAGTCTTCTATTGTGTTTATGATGTATCCCAAGTGCCTAAAACAATGCCGCAAACTCAGCAGATGCTTGAAACATATCCATAAATTAAGTCAGATTAGAAAACACATTGACTATGAAAGACTGGCAAATCTTGAAATTTAGCAACAGAAAGTGAAAAGTCAAACCACAGACTGGGAAAAATTAAATATAATGCCTATAACATAAAATTCTACTCATAGTAGACAAGGAACTATTACAAATCCATGTAAGCTGAAACTCTAACAGAATAATGGGCAAAAGCTCTGGGTAAACAATACAAAGAAGAGAAAACAGGAATGGCGAGTAAACATATGGAAAGCTCTCCAACCTCACTATTGATCAAGAAGTGCAAAAACAATGACACACAATCTCAAAACCTAATAATACCAAAACATGGAATTACATTATATACACAATGGTTGTGCACATGAAAATTAAAGCATTGACCAAGATAGCATTTCACGTCAGTGAGTATACAAAGGATTGTCAATAATTCTGGGATAATTATTTAAATTTGAAGGAGAAATCAAATCCTTGGGATGAACTTGGGGAAAAAGGTCATTCTAAACATTTCAAAGAGACAGGGGAGAGAAAACATAATGAAAAGATAACTGGCTACATGAAAATTTAGAACTTTGATGATATGAGGTATTTCATAATGAAGATGGAACAGGTAATCAAGAAGAAATAGGTAAGTGCTTGGAGAAAATGCACTTTAAAACTCCTCAGGCAGCTTATTAAACACAAAAGGAAAAAAAACATATAAAAATTCTATCTCATTAGTAATCAAATAATTTTGAGTATTATTACCATAGGATTACCACATTTTGGAAGCAATGTGGTAAAATGGATATTCTCACCACTGACAGGCATATAACCTAGCACAGATAACAATCCTGATGTACAATCTGGCTTTATATATCAAGAGCTGTATAAACACTTATACCTCATGTCCATGAAGTTGTTTGTTTTTTTAAATATCCCAAGGAAATTTAAGATATTTGTAAATACACATATGCCAAGAAAGCTAGTAACAGCTTTACTTAGAAAAGCAGGGTTAGAAATAACCCGAAAGCTCAACAGCAGAGAAACGGGTAAATTCTGATCCATCCATAGGAGTATATTACGCAGTCATTTAAAACTTTTGAAAGAATATTTAATAAAATGGGAAGGTTGGACAAATAATAAGTGATAAAAACAAGTTATAAAGCAATGCTGAATATATAGGATAATCTCAATTCTATTTTAATTTATTTTTGGTTGTACTAGGTTTTCAATTCAGGGCCTTACACTTGCTAGGCAAACACTCTACCATTTGGGCCATACTCCCAGCCCATTTTGCTTTAGTTATTTTTTGAATAGGATCTCACATTTCTACCTTAGCTAGCCTTAAATCATGGTCTTCCTGACCTCTGCCTCAGAGTAGCTGAGATTACACGTACACACCTCTGCATCCAGGCCCAATTTTGTATATATGATTAAAATATTAATAGTGATTATTTCTAGAGGGTGGGATTAATGGCATTCTCTTGTTTTTTATCTCCACTACCATCTTTTCTACCAAAAGAACCACAAATTCTTGATATCTCATTTTAATATGTAGAAAAACTGAAGCTAATCAGTCCTAACTGTTCTCTAATTAGAAAAGCATGATCTTGCCAGGAGATCATGGGAGTGCATACCTGCAATCCCAGCACATGGAAGGCTGAGGTAGGAGGATCTCAAGTTTGAGGTCAGTCTAGGTCTCAAAGAAAAGACAAGACAGTCAGCCTGGCAGCACACATGGGGAGAAACACAGAAGAAACTACCATAGAACTTACTCAGCTGAACCTTACTACCAGTGTTTTACTGTCTTAAATAACAAATGAAGCATTAAGTACTGGCCTAGCAAGTGTGAGGCCCTGAATTCAAAACCTAGTACCACCAAAAAAAATTAAAATAGAATTAAGATCATCCTGTATATTCAGCATTGCTTTATAACTTGTTTTTATCACTTATAATTTGTCTAACCTTCCCATTTTATTAAATATTCTTTCAAAAGTTTTTAAATGACTGCATAATATACTCCTATGGATGGATCAGAATTTACCCGTTTCTCTGCTGTTGAGCTTTTGGGTTATTTCTAACCCTGCTTTTCTAAGTAAAGCTGTTATTAGCTTTCTTGGCATATGTGTATTTACAAATGTCTTAAATTTCCTTGGGATATTTAAAAAACAAAACAAACTGCACAAAATGTAGCACAGAGAAACTTAAACACAGAAAACATGAGAAATTATGAGGTAAGGTGACAGAGTGAGAGGGTCTAACAGCCAACTAAGAGCCCCAGAGGAAGAGATGAGCGAGAATGAGGAAGAGTCAATGTTCTAACAGGATGTGAGGACACTAATTCTCAGACTGAAAATTCTAAAACCCAAGCCAGATTTAAAAAATTTTACCACAAAAACACACCACAGTGAAAACAAATTCTAAAACCAAGAGATCTTAAAACTAGTGAGCAAAGGGATACAAATCATACATAAAGGAGTATCAGTAAATGTGAGAGCTGTCTTCTCAACAGCAGCAGTGGAAGTCCACATAGAATGTGCTTATCTGTGAAGAGAAAAGTAACTACTAATGAAGAACTCTCAATCTAGTCAGATTAGCTTTTGAGAACTGTTGGGGCTCAGAACATAATACCTGAAAGGATGGTCCCTTGACACACTCAGTATTTTGAACAAAGAAGACTGGAAGAGCCCCAGAAACAAGGTTTTCCTGAACTTGCTCTCCTGCCTGTCTCCCGAGTCAAGCCATACATGACTAGAAAAGCGTGGATGAATTTCCAGAGAATGGCGTTAGAGGAAGCTAGAACAGCGGGTGCCTCCTATAGTAAGATCTTGGAGACGCTGGAGATATCACTTGCATGGCAAAGCCAACCAAGAAGAGCGGAAAAGCTTTTGACGCCCTCCCCACCTTGCAGCCAGTGCAGAGCAATCTCCCACTTCAGTGTTAAACAGAGAAAAATTCAGGAGGGCCCCCCAGCCGCCAGTCGCACGCCACCCCAGTGGCTTGGGAGAATGTCGGACCACGGTGCAGCTTCGTTTTTTGGTAACCGCGGTTCTCCCACAGACAACCCTGAGCCAGACAGCATAGCCCCCTGGACAGAACCCCACCAGGGGGAAGAAAAAGAAATTGAGTAATAAGCACTAAGAGGAATAAAGACACATGCGAAAGAGGGTGAGGCGCCTGAGCGCCAAAGATTGGGGTAAGGGAATCTTTACCGAGCCCTGTAAATGAGCCCGGCGGCCAGGAGAGGCTCTGGCGGGAGCCGTGGGTTGCGCGCTCACACCAGCGAGCGGGAAAGGCTTGTGAAAAGCGGAGGTGAGGAAAACTCTAACAGACGGGGGGGAAGACCCACTTCCA